CAATTTGATGTTGGACAGAGGACTCAGCACTTAAGAGTATTGGCTGCTCTTTCAGAGGACACAGGTATTATTCTCAGCACCCATAAAATGGCTCACAAAAAAACTGGATGTTCTCCTTTGACCTTCATCGGCAATAGGCATACATGTAGTGAACAGACATACATGCAGGCAAAATACTCATGCACATGAAACAAAATAAATACATGAAGATATGTGTGTGTGTGTGTGTGTGTGTATTATATATTATATATTTATATAATTTGGCTAAGCAGGGGAAGCACACACCTTCAATCCCAGCACATAGGAAAACAGGCAGATCTCTGAGTTTGAGGCCAGCCTAGTCTACAGAACAACTTCCAAAACACCTAGGGCTACACAGAGAAACCCTGTCTCAAAAAATCATTTAAAAAAAAAAACCTCCAATTTGACTAAAATCCCCCTCTGTGGAATTTTTATAACACTTCCATATAATTAACTTCCCTCTCTGCTTCACTGAACTTTTTTTTCAGGCAAGATCTCACTATATAGCCCAGACTGACCTCAAATGTGCTACCTCCAGAGTACTGGGAATACAGGTATCCACCATTACGCCTGTCCTGACTGTGAGAATTTTCACTTCACCAAACTTGGAAGTTATTTAAGTACTTAGTAAATATAGTGTGTACATAAAACCATTAGCCTCAGAATTTATTATCTGAAATCAAAACATAATTCATCCAATTGTAAATAAATAGCCAAATACTCAGTTATATAAAAAACAGACTATTCATGTGTTATTATAAGTTACTAACTTAATTTCACTCTCTTAAAAAAAAATCAACAGCTTCAGAATGTATACAAACAGAAAATCAAAATAAAAAACCTCAAATTTTGTCAAGCTACTGTATATCTACCATCTTGTGATGGAAGATGAAGGTATTTGCTTCACTTTAGTAATGCCCCCCTCGCCCTCACTCTCTTGATGTGTGTGTGTGTGTGTGTGTGTGTGTGTGTGTGTGTACCTTTGTTTGCATATAATTGCATATATTTGAAGAGTCAGAGGTGAATCTTGGGAGCCATTCATTAAAGGCACTTCCTCCTATTTTCTTTCTTTCTTTTCTTTTTTTCTTTTGTTGTTTTTGTTTTGTTTGTTTTTGTTGTTGTTGTTATTTTGCTTTTGAGACAGGGTTTCTCTGTGTAGCCTTGGCTGTCCTTGACTTGCTTTGTAGACCAAGCTGGCCTCAAGGAGTGTACCACTGCACTTAGCTTTTATTTATTTATTTATTTTTATTTTTTTAGAACATCTCTTTCAGGGCTGGAGAGATGGCTCAGAGGTTAAGAACACTTGCTGTTCTTCCAAAGGCCCTGAGTTCAATTCTAAGCAACCACATGGTGGCTCACAACAATCTGTACTGTGATCTGGTGCCCTCTTTCTGGCTTATAGGCACACATGCAGGTAGAATACTATATTCTGCATAAATAATAAATAAATAAATAAATAAATAAATAAATAAATAAATAAATAAATGAATCTTTGAGAAAAATAAAGTCTCGCTTATGGGGGGGATACAAAATGAATAAAGTGTAATTAATAAAAAATTTAAAAAAATTAATGTATCAAAAAAAAATTAAAAAATAAAGGAATCTGGGACCCCTTTGGTTAGACTAGTCTGGTTGCCCCATATTTCCCCAGGGATCTGCCTGTTCCTCCTACTCCCATCACTGTGATTACATGTGTGTCACCAAGCCAGGCTTTATATAAGATTGCTGGGCATCAAACTCATATCCTCATGTTTGCATGTAAGCACTTTACCAACACAACTATCTCCTTAGCTACAACACTGGATTCTCTCTTTTTTTTCTTATTATTAGTTACATTTTATTAATTCTGTATCCCAGCTGTATCCTCCTCCCTCATTCCCTCTCACACCCTCCCTCCCTCCCTCCCTCCCTCATCTCCTCCCTGCCCCTTTCCAAGTCCACTAATTGGGGAGGACCTCCTCCCCTTTCTTCCACTGTATTCTCTTAATGATTAAATCATTACTTTAAATCTGTAAGCTACAACTCAGAGCTTCTTCCTAACACTTCTCTAGGGCAATTTCTCTTCTATTCAGTTTAACAATATACAATTCATGGTTGATAGCAAATTACTAATTAATCTAAGAGTCATGCTGTTTAATAGCATTCTGCAACCTGTGAGTAACCAGAAAGTTATATAAAATTCAAAACTCTAATACTAACATACTATTCAAAATGTGTTGAGTCAATAAAAGAACTGTCACCATTAATAGATATAGATAGATAGATAGATAGATAGATAGATAGATAGATAGATAGATAGACAGACAAATAGATAGAGCTATTAGACAGTTAAGATAGATGATAGAGATAGATAGATAGATAGATAGATAGATAGATAGATAGATAGATGGAGATGGATGGATGGATGCATGGATGGATATGGGATTTCATTACACATACCTGAAAAACATGAAGTGAATTCTACTTTATTTTGATTCACACAACCTTAAACAGAAGTCATTACAGTTCTAATAAGTCAGTCTGGAAAAAGTTCTCACTGTTGGCCATCAGCAAGTTGTAGATAGAAATAACTTTGTAACTTTGCCTACTAAAAATACACTCTCCATCGCCATTTTTTCAAATCCATAGTCAACTAAATGAATACAATTTTATCACAAGTCTTACAGTTTAGGAAATTATTGACTCCAATGATTAAGGTGGGTTTTTTGTTCTGTTTTGTTTTGTTTTGTTTTTTAATGTGTCAGAAACTTCCATCACTGCTAAACTTCTTTTTATCTCTCAACTTCTTTTTATCCCTAGCAGCGTTTCCTTGCATGGTTTCTCCTTGTCCCCAGTTTTCTTTCCTTTCATCAGTGTCTTCCTCAATTCCCGAGATGTCTTTTCCTTTGCTGGCTTTTGAACTGCAAAGGCTCTTTCTTTCTACAAGTCATGGTTGCTTGTAAGAAACTAAGAAATGCCATAAAACTAGAAAAAAAAAAAAAACATACAACCAATTTTCCTCATGCAATTTGAAGACTTTTGAACCCCTAACAACATAATAACCCAGATAAATAATTTATATTGCCATACTGCCATTTTATAATCACACACAACTCCTTTACACACACTTGCAATTGGGAATTAGTATAGCAAAACATAATACATAGCATTATTTTTTTTAATTTTGTTTAAGGTCTTACCATACTTGCCAAACTTTAAGAATTCCAGGTGAACTCTTTCCTACAAGGTTTACCAGATCTTATTGTTTGGTCAAATTGTTTGCATTAAACTGTACCATACTGCATTCCTGTTTTTATTAGCTGTGACATATTGGCTTACAGAAATCATGTATTTAGAAATTATGTATATACAAATAATGCTCAAAAGTTACACTTAAGTGAAAATAAAAGAAGAAAAAAGAAAATTTATGTCAGTATTATGCTCTGGGTTCCAATATGTGATCTACTGTATCAAGCTATATTCACTGTGAAACAGTAAAGTTAGCTAGGAACTGAAAATGATACTATCTCATAATTATCTAGTTACCTTGTCAAATCAAGTAAAACATAAAAGATGAAATAGATCAAAATTATCAGGGATTTAATGCTAATAGAGATAAATGCTTTTCCTTTAGTATCCTTAAAAGTGGAAGAGTCTTGGTAAATGAATAAAACTATTTATGAAAACTATCCCTTAACTTTTATTTTTAATTAAATATTTTACTACTTATCAGAGCAGTTTGTACTGGGGCCAACGGGAGGAAAAAAAGGAAAACAGTAGGATCACTCTTTGACCACAAACTAATAAATTTCAAAGTCATTTAATCAAAATTTATTTTGATTGAATTGAATTGATGATATTTTAAATTTAAAATATTAATCTAGCCAAGTCCTTTCCTACATAATGGAAGATTTTATATGTCCTAATGTTTGAGCCCTGTTTTTCTCTATGGACAGTCCATAATAGGAAAGCGAACAGGAGCCAAAAGACAAGTGCAAGTCCAGACCAAATGGCCAGATGCCACAGGAAATGGTTTGAGTTGCTTGTCACAGACTCACCCTCTCTTATAATCAAGTTGGTGCTTACAACTGAAATGTAAATGTACAATATGTGGCTTGTGCTTGGAATGTGGACTAGGAATCTTCTGCTCAAAGGGCTCATGAGAAATAGAAGTTTATTTGCTGAATCTGTGCAGGAAGCCCCTTTCTCCTCATTCAACTGAAATTAGAAACTTTACGAAAAGAGGAACCCTTTTAACTGATGAGTTGAAGAAACCCCAGTATTTCTCAACCCAGTACTAGGCCCCATAGATCTCTTGCCTCTTGGCAGGAAATGAACTACTACTACTGGTCTACACTGTCAGGATTGTGAGACACTAACCCGGTACTTAACTGCTTTTGAGCATTCTCAACCAAATGGAAACAGTGTGTTGAGATGGTTAGGAGGACCTTGCCCAGCCTCCAATTCCCATGTTCCCCTCAAGATCCAGGCTTCCAAAGAAATGTTTCTTGGTAGAGCACAGGAGAAGAAAGAAGGAGGGAGCAAACATACGCAGGCGCCTCTTAGATTTCTGGCAAAGTTGAAGGAACAGGGAACCTAAGTCAGGCTTGTACTGATTTACATAGCTAAGCAGGAGATACCCTTGCCCCAGACCCCAAGTGTTAGGAGGCCAAGTAGCAACTGACAAGACGTGGGAGGGAAATGGAATACCGCAAAGGTTCGCGCCCACAAGTTAGACAAACAGCCCTACCCAGTACTCTAGGACAGGACGCGGGGTGTCCCCAAGTCAGGGTGGGGCCTTTCTCCTCCGCAAACTGACAAGAGAAAGGGCCGGGTTAACTGGAGAAGGGTGTTCTTCCGCCCCCACGCCGTCTCTCTTCCCCGGAGTTGAGCAGCAGTTGCCGTTGAGAGGGGGGGTGTTGGGTCCCCTGCGTGTTCCACGGCAGGACAATCCGGGGCCCTTGGGTCCCGGAAGCCAGCGGGGATTGCGAAGCACTTACCAATTTGGGTTTGTTTTTTGTCTCCTCTTCGTTGGCCGCCCGGTTCCCCGCGCCCCGCTTGTTGCTCCGGCCCACGCTGAGTTCCTCGCCGCCACCTCCAGCTCCCGATGCCGACGCCCCGTGCTGCTCCATCTTTCTCTGGCCCCGTCACCTGCCGCCAAGGAACTCTCTGTCTTTTAAAGGGCAAAAGCCCCTCAGAGCGCTTCGGATGTCCCGCGTCCACGGACAGAGAAGGTTGCCCGCCAAGCGCCTTTCCCAGGCCCCTGGTTCTCCCCAGTCCCAGGCAACCCGACGCAACCACGCTGGTGCCACCACTCAGCGCTGGGGCAAGCCCTGCCCCTAAGCAGCTGCAATCACCACGGTCGCCTCCGCCCTCAGGGCGGTGTTTAGGGTGGAGGAAAAGTAGGTGCCTGTCTCTTTAAGAGGGCCTCCTACACGTGATTCATCCATGTGCCCATTGTCAGTCACCCTGGCGGGCGCCGAAAGCTGCTTCCTACTCATGATGCTAAGCAGGCTGGGCTCTGCCAGAGACTGGAGTCTACCAGAGGACATTCTGTTGCGGTTAAGCACTGAATTTCACTTCCTAGTTGTCTAGCACCAAGTACTATTCTAGACAGAAAAAGGAGAACCCATTTTAGAGATAGGAAAACTGAGTGAAGAGACTTCTCATTTGCATTTTACTGACTAGGCCACCTGAGTCTCAGCTTTCACTGTTATTGGTCAGTGCATCTTCTCTAGGCAGAGGGCCCTCAGGGAGTGTGTTCTTGCTTCACTCAGTAGGAAGGTTTAATTAGCAAGGTAACTGGCAAGGTGTAGGAAAACCACCAGGAGTTCTGATTAATTGTCTAGACAGTTTGTATGAGCCAAAGCGAAAAGAGTGGGTGCTTCTGCTGCCACGATTGTTTTGTGGCAAAAGAAATACAATCATTGTTTTCTTCTCGGGCTGCTGGTGGTTAAAGCTACCAGTTCCCCACCATGTAATCCTTAGAGTGATATTAAGCTCTTTAACCAAAGTACCTATTTACAGGTCACTATTGAACTAAGTTCGATCTTTGTTTTCCCAACCTAGTTTAGGTTTAGGTTATTGTGAATAGTAAGTAAGATCTTATGTGTTGAAGCTTTGTTTAAAAGGTAAATCTCTATACTATTGCTGGTGTTTTTGTGTAGCACCACCAAGCAGTATACATAGTCTTCAGCCCAGGTACTGTACTTACTATTTTATCCTTAGGAACTAGATTTTCACATTCTTTTCCAAAGGGACCCTTACAAAGGCAGGATTTGAAGAAACAGCCAAACCATCATAGAATTAGGAACCAAGTGCTGGGGAAGCCACTTGTAAAATCAACTTGAAGACCAAAGCCATAAACATGTCCATACCCCTGTTAATGACAAAAATAACTTTGAGCTGTGAGTTCTTTTGGCCTTGTCCAATTCAATTTGGCCAGCCTGGTCTACAAAGCAAGTTCCAGGCTAGCCAAGGTTATATAGTAAGACCTTGTCTCAAAAAACTACATAAACAAAATAAGAAACAGGATAGACAACAATTGAACATTGTACATTGGATAATTATGAAGGCTCCTACTTGTACACACCACCGTCATTGTTTTAAACAGTGGAGAGAAGGAAGTTGTAAAAGCATTGTAACATGAATTAATTCTCCATGACATGTATACGAACTTGAAAATGAATTGATATGTTTTGAATGCAATGCTGGCTTTCACTGTCCTCAGGCTGGGCTAAGTTACATTTGCTAACCAATTAGACACCTATAAAAGGTTTGTAATCTCTGCAAAAAGTGGAAAAATTGTTCCTAATTATAACTTACATTTGGCTTTTGTGATTATCTCAAACCCTGTTTTAGGTCTTGCTATTTGTTTTACAGCATTTTGCTATATGTAACATGAAAAGAAGATTATAAAACAAATACACAAACAGAAACTTCTTTTTCAGTAGTCAGGGTCATTGGTTTCTCTTGGAAACTAACACACAAAAAAAGAAAACAGTAGCCTCAGGCAAGAATATTTTGTCCCTTAACTCTGAACCTAATACATCAGCAACTGCTGTCTTAGTGCTGATCTCACTTTACCTACATTCCTTTAATTTTTTTTCCTTCTTGTGACATACAAATAAGCTTATGAAGAAAAAAAAATGTCTTTTCTCTGGTACTGAAGAAAGGAGGTTATACCCATCAGCTAGAATATTAAAAGTATACTTTAGACACAGTGATTCCCCAGTCTCTCCCTCTAGTTTCTCAGGAGTATAGCATTGAGTTCTAAGTCAGCTATCAGAAAAGAAAAAAAAAAAAAAGAATCTTTCTTTAAACCAAACTTATAGACCTCTAAACAGTCTGTCATTCATAGAAAAATTAAACGAAACACAAATTAGAGGAAAAGTGAGGAAAAAAAAGACAGCTTCAAGATCACGGCAAAAAAAATTATAAGTCAATAGACAACTAAAAGTAACCAAGTATTTGCTAAGCATATGTTATGTGGCTAACATCAAACTAGATGTGATGCAGACTCAAACAACGGGGAGAAGAGGTACTGGTTTGTCTGCTGTAATGTCATGTGTATCTTCATAAAGAAGCTCTGGGTTTTTGATTGTTTGTTTAAAAAAGCAACATACTACAAATAACAGGACCTCTAGAAAATAAGGTTAAATAAAATTAAATGTAAAACAACTTTGAAACCAAAGCATTAGCAAAACAAAAACCAACCAAACAATAAAACCCAATAGCTATCCTAGTAAAAATACTCTAGTAATTTAATCTTCACTGACATTTGAATGTAGCAAAAGTTATCTCTGTAATGTCTCCCCACCCCCTTGTTTGTCACCAATGGCATTGAGTTTTAATAGATGCCATTATCAGAATTTTAAATTGAAGAGCAATCAACTTTTTAAAACACATGGTGAAAGATCTTTCCAGCTTCAATGCGTATTCATTTCATATGGTTGAAAACTTAAAGGTTGAAGCCATTAAACCAATCTATAGTCATGCTTAAGATAGCATTTTATTCTGGATTCTTCACTTTAAACTTCACGTATGACTAAGTCATCTTGAATATGTGGAAGTAGACTTCTCCTTAGTTGGAAGCTTAAAGTGCTAAGAAAATTCATAAATGAATCAATTGGACTTTCAGATTATTTTGACATCATTCTCTACTTTACTGATTGCTAAAGTACTATTTGTCTTACACAAGACACTTATAATGGAACAACCTATTAAACCTAAAAATCTCTGCCATCATTCAACCTAAAATCTACTTGAGAAAAGAAAAAATAAAACAAACAAACAAACAAAAAATATTTTTCTCTTGTGAGAACAAAGACTTAAATGTGGTATGGTAGCCACCATTTTTAATCAGAGCACTTCAGAGGTGAAGGGAAGCCCTTGCAACATAATGAATTCAAGATCAGCCTAGGATACATGAGAAAAAAGGAAGAAAGAGAGAGAGAGAAAGAAAGAAAGAAAGAAAGAAAGAAAGAAAGAAAGAAAGAAAGAAAGAAAGAAAGAAAGAAAGAAGAAAGAAAAAAGAAAGAAAAAAGAAAGAAAAAAGAAAAGAAAGATGGGGAGAGAGAGAAAAAGAGTATTGCTCTAGTTAGTTACATGTAAACTTGACACCAGGTACAGCCAGTTTGAAAGAGGTAACCTCAATCTAGGAAATGCCCCCAAACAGATTGACCTAGGGCAAGCATGTGGTGCATTTTCTTGATGAATGATTGATAGGCATTGGTCATCCTGGGTTCTAAAAGAAAGCACCCTGGGTGCTAAAAGAAAACTGAGCAAGCTGTGGAGAACAACCCAATATGCATCCCTCCTTCATGGCCTCTGCATCAACTCCGCCTTTAGGTTCCTGCCCTGTATGAAGTCCTAACTTTCTTTGGACCTGGAAGTATAAGATGAAATAAACACTGTCCTCTCCAGGTTATTTATGGTTATGTTTTTTTCATCACAGCATTAAAACATTGAATAGACAGGTAAGTGCAGAGGCAGGAAAATTATCTTCCTAACTTGGAGAACCAACTCAAAAATACAGGATACTAGAGTGAAACAATAAGACCGATGAGGCCTAGAATAGATGAAGTTTTCTAGGAGAATTTCTTATGATGCTGAAATTAAATCAGAAATCAGATGTGAAAAGGCAAAGCAAAAAAAAAAAAAAAAGGAAATAAGGAAAAGATAAAGTATGAAATAGCCTGAAAATAATGTTGACCATTGATGTTCAAAAGTCAGTGGCCCTATGCTATATTAATAAGAACATGGGTAATAATAATACTGGGAAACATGTTCATCTCCATAACCTTTTCCCAGTATGCAAACAGATTGGAGTGTAAGACTCAGTGGTATTCACTGATAAGGATCTTTAGCAAGGAAGTTATAAAACATGAAGTGTTTGGGGAGCTCTTTTGAAAATAGTACTTGAAATAACTTTGAAAATTGATTTCCAAAATGATGTTTCCTTTAGTGTGGATTTCCTTTTTAAAATAAATAAAATAAACAGAACTCTTCACAGAACCTCAGAATATGCAGCAGATCCCAATCAAGCTGACCTGTTGGGTTAGTTCTCCACTTGGCTTCCCTGCCACGCCCTAAGGAATCCTTCTGAGTCACCAGTGCAAAACTCTGACTAAAGCTAGATAAAATCCAGAGGACTGGGACTAGAGCAGCCCCAGAGGAAATACAAAAATGGCTCCAAGAACCTTTTAAAAGGAACAAACCATTTCTCCCCACATATTCTATATAGGAAACAAAGAAAAGGAACTGTGAATAAATAACAATTAGAAAAAACTGCCTCAGGGAAGTAAAAGAACAGAGGTAAACTGGGACATATCATCTCAACAGATGCTTGTTCTTGACAGGCAAACCCCAAGTGGGTTCCCTAGTAAGGGAAACAGTGGATGTCTCTGATATCAACTCAGGGGCAGGCTCTCTGTTCACCTCCCCCTGGGGTGGTGCAGTCTTGCCGGGCCACAGTGGAAAACAATACAGCCAGTCCTGATGTATATATATATATATATATATATGATGGATATATATATGTATGTGCATATGTACTTACATATATTATGTATTATGAATATATAATGACTAATGCAATAAGAATATATCTCTTGGTCTTTATTGTATTATCCTCATCAGAAGTACGCTGAAGGAAATCAGAAATACTGATTCTCTGACTACTACATTACTAGTGTAAACATGTTATTCTTTATTTTTAAACCTGGAGTGCCTGGAGGGTTGTTATTTTTTTTTTTTTTGCCATCATCTATCAAACTATAGGTAGTGTATTAATTATACATAGCATAACTTTTCATGGCAAGGA